GCTTCTGGTAGATTACATCGACTTTGGAAAATTTTCTGCTGACACTTGCCTTCTCCTTTATTTCATTTTGACTTCTATTTAATTCAGGATTCAAATCCACTACATTTATTATTTCTTCTCTCTAGGTGTCAGTGGGGCTTGGGGTACACATAGAATGTTGCAGGATGGAAGTGGGGCTGGGCTGTGTCTGCCATCTGTGGGTTGGCTCCCCCTGAAATGTGACTTGTCTATCTGGCCCTTAGATGTGGTCAACCCTGTCTACAGGCATCCAAGATGTCCATATCACCATCAAATCCCAAGCCATAGAGCCCCTGCCCTAACCTGAAACTCATCTCTTCTCAATGTGATGAGCAGTCTGTGTACTTTACAGACTTTACAATCCCAWCTATGAGGTCTCTGGGGCCTGGCTGGCTCTCTTCCTTCCATCCAGCTCCCACAGTAGACATGCACCATGGAGCTTCTCTTCCTACCATGTGCAGAGGCTCATGGGGCATCCTGAGGCTGCCCTGGGACCTGCACACCTGGATGCCTCCTGTTGTCATTGTGATTGTCCTAGGGTCTAGGGCTTCCCTGCAGGACTCCAAGCCTTTGTCCTACCTTCACCCTGGGAAGTGGGGGTGCAGATCTTTCTGGGACTTCCCAACTCAACTGGATATCCCCAGAGGTACTCCCGTTTTCTTAATCATCTCTACCATGAGATTATCGATGGTTCTTATTTTCTTACATAATCTTTTATTTTCCTTTTTACAAAGAGCATATATTGCTTTTGTAATGATAAAAAGTGAAAGCTGAAGCTGGGCATGGTGGAGCATGCTTGTAATCCCAGCTGCTCAGGAGGCTGAGGCAGGAGAATCACTAATTCAAAGCCAACATTGGCAAGTTAGCTAGGCCCAAAGCAACTTAGCAAGACCCTGCCTCCAAAAACAAACAAACAAAGAAACAAACAAAAAGCGCTGGGGATGTGGCTCAGTGGTTAAGCATCCCTGAGTTCAATCCCTGGTACCAAAGTGAAAGTTGAAGCAGGGGCAATGGCACATACCTGTAATCCTGGAGATTGAGGCAGGAGAATCATACATTCAAGTCTCAGCAAATTAGCAAGATTCTAAGCAACTAAGTGGTGTTATGGGCTAGGCCATATGGGCAATGACCAAACAGACTCCATTTTACCCTGAGACCCCATGTCATGTAAGAAATGCTTCTCCCATGAGAAAACTCCACCTCTGCCATCCTGATCCTGCTTAGCACACCCTGCTTAGAAACGCAAATGTTTCTGTTCTTACACAATGCAAAATTGTTCTCTTTTTGGTTCCCATTTTTCTTGGACAGTGTACCCTGTCAGAGAATGGTTGTCTAGACGTTAGTAACCATTCTTTAACGTGTACCCAACTAAGGTCGTTTTGACTCCCTTCACCTTCTGCTTCTGATTTTAGGTCTCATGATGTTTGTTTATGGCTTTGAATCATAGCAACAGCCACTTATGATTAATGTGATTTGGGACTATAAAGGTGCGCTCTCAGCCTTGCAGGGAGTTGAAGGGTATAGACTTGCAGGCCGCTCCTTGGCCCTCCAGCTGGTGAATAAAGATGGTTCTGTCTCCTGCTTTAAGATTGACTTGGTGATTTATCCTAATCTCGCCATAACATTTTGGAGGCCCCAGCAAGATGATCACTGCAGTGAAGGCTGTGGCTCTCTGGCGCACAGGTGTCCCAGATCCTCTGACGCAGAGAGGTGCCCTCCCCTCTCTAGCTGTGGGAGCTCTCTGCTTTGTGAGGGTCTGGACCTCCTGTGGTGACCAACTGGAGCCCACCCATAGAAGCTCTGATATGACTCACATCTGTAATCCAGTGGCTTTAAAGGAGGACAGATCTGCATAATGTTGGGAGGTACCTCATTTATTCTTTCCATTTGAGTCGATTGTAAGATTGTAAAGCAGTGGAGGTTCCTAGTGCCTAACTGTAAATCTTTAGAAGTGTATCAGGGGCTCTCCTCTGGGGGTGTGTAAAGTGCTTGATTGTAAAGCCTAAAGATGTACAAGTGATCCAAATACCTTTGGTTCACGTGGTCAAACAATTAATAAAATGTCAATGTCTATAAAATGTCTAATATCCATTTTTTTTCTAGGATTTTTCTTCATCAAGAAAGAGATGGCTGATGCTATTCAATACACTTGTCTGATGTCTTGGTTTTAAAAATAAGTAAATTAGATTTGACATATGTGGGATTGATCATGGATGTGTTTGTTAGAGATATCTAATTGGTTTACAGAATGAAAGCACTAACTGTTAAATATAACATCAAGTATTCTTAACTCCTTCAATTCTATAAATTAACATACTTAAACATTACTGGTGTTTTCATAAATCGGTAAAAATTGCTCTGTGTCATTACTAAAAACTTGGTTATTAAGAGTTAAATGTACCAAAAGGTATAATTCTATAACTGCRTTTCAAATAGAGTACTGTAAATATCATAAAGTATTTCTCCTGCAGGTTTCAAATAGAGTAATTTGTCTAAATTCAGAAATTTACAAGGGTTGCTTCAGAGTGTAAATTTTTAAAAGGGGGTCAAATGATAGGAAAAAAGTTTAAAGATTCTAAATATAAAAAATGTTTCTAGGTAAGAAAGTCTTCATGTGGCAAAGTTATAATGCATCTAAGTAAACAATAGAGGGTCTAATTAAGTGACAAAAAGATCTATATAAATAAAGGGTAAATTTTAAAAGATTTGYGTGTAACTAAGTGTTGCAATAGGCGAAAAGTKCGACTTAYGCAGTTGAGGGGGAGAAATGAAGAATGTTCATGCGCTTCTGCCCTTTTCAATGCTTTATTCACTCAAATCACTGATTACAATTCCACTCTATGGATTCCAGAAAATGACAATCCTTAATGCTAGGCACTGCGATAGATATAATCAATTCACAGCAAACAATTCTAGATTCATTCTGAGCACTGCAAACATGCTTAATCATGACAGGCTTGTGACAGTCATTCCCTCTGTGAGCTAAGCTCAAGTGCTAGGTCTAAAGTCTCAAGCCTTAGGGTCCAGCAGATGCACAGGCACTCAGACGGTGGTGATCAGATCAGGAACCAAGATAGGCTTCTCCTGGGGTGGAGCTGACGGCTGGCTGAGGAGGTGGTCAAAGAGAGAAGTCCTTTTCTCACCAGGGTCAAGAGGCTGCTGTAGAGTTTGAGAGCGGTGAGAACAACACAGAGGATCAGGCAGATGAGAAGAGTTGGGATGTCAGTCCAGGTCCTCATCAAGCTCTCAGACTTGTGTGCATCAGTGTTGGCTGGCTGAATGTCTGTTCATTTGCTCCTTCATTTACACTAAATTTTGGGGCTTCTGACTACCCTTTCAATCCCTATCAGCTGCTACCGGATTTCTCAGTGACGTCGTTCGTTCTGAGGTTAAAGCATCTGTTCTCCTGGTCCAAACCCTGATTTTCTTGCTTCTCATTTTTTATCAGGGCAAGAGCAATGCCAGAGACTTCACTCAGAGTTTGTCAGGGTGGGGAGAAGTGACTTGTTTACGCCTGAGGGCCATACTGGAGGACTCTGTAGGTGTGCCTGGTGAGACTGCAGGTTTCAAAGTGGAGTTTTTAAAATGGAGTTGCTTAGGCTAAAGTCTAAGGCTATCCTTACACTAAGTTGGTTAAAAAGAAGTAATATGATCAGTTAAAACTATTCAAGTTTGTTCCCTAAAGTCAAATATTAATGTAYTAATTATGTACATCAAATATTAATGTACTAATATAAATCATTTTAATCTTTAATTTAAAATGACAAGGATTTCTTAAAGCATTAATTTATTCTTAATATTGTGTCTGTTAAGTTTTATTTTCTAGAACAACTAGTCTTAAGAAATTAAGGTTTGTACAACTGGTTAAACAACAACTGATATTTTAGGGGACTGTACTATATTACAAAGTCTAAATTTTTCTTTAAGATCTAGACTTGGATAATATAAAACATAAATATAATTATGACATTATTACTCTTCTTTGCATATTAAATATGCTCATATCTTCCAGGTATAAAAGTCTTTAAAGAAAAAGGTTTAAAGAAGCATTTTATCAAGCTGGTGTTCTCCAAACTAAAGTTGACTGTAATGGTCGTTTCGACTTATAAGGATAACAGATTTTATTGGGGATTTAGTTATATCATTAATTGTTTTTTAACCAAACCTAAACCTTAGGTTACTTTTTACAGTTGGATAAATGTAAATGTATTTCTAAAAGTTAATGAGAGCCTAATCAGCAATTTAGTGAGGCCCTAATCAACTCAGTGAGACCCTGTCTTTAAATAAAATATAGAAACAGGATAGGGATGTGGCTTGGGGGGTTGAATGCCCCTGGATTAAATTCTCAGTACCAGAGAGAGAGACTTTCCCTTGCCTCAACAAACTATGTCCATCCCCGCCAAAGTCAATAGATCTTTGGAGAATCTTCCATTGTGTGTGACACTTAAGGGTTAACAAGCCATTAAGTGTCAGTCACAAAGTCATTCATAACTTTTTTTTTTTTTTTAACTAGGAACATTTTGCAGGAGTTGTTAATCTGTAATTTACAGCAATCAGGTTTACTACAAGAACCTTTTTCTTTTGCCAGGCATCGTGGCACTCTCCTGTAATCCCAGCCACTCTGGAGGCTGAGAATCCCAAGTTCAAAGCCAGTCTCAGCAATTTAGGGAGTCCCTAAGCAATTAAGGGAGATCCTGTCTCAAATGAAAAGGACTGGGGATGTGGCTCCGTGGTTAAGCGCCTCTGGGTTCAATCCCTAGTACCAATATAAATAAATAAAATAATAAATAAAAATAATTTTTTTCCCTCAATTCTGGAAGTTGAACCCAGGACTACATGCAAACCCAGGCACGCACTCTGCCTCTGAGGTTTGTCCCCAGCACCAGCAATTAATTTTACAAAAGAACTTCCTGTTCTAGTGTCTGCGCTTGGCTCTGGCTCCTCCTCTTGGGCCAGGGCCAGCCTCCCTAACCAGGATTTAAAGSGACTGTGAGCCTCATTACCAGGACACCAGACATCTATTTGCTCTCTCAAAGCCATTTCTGCACCAACCATGGCCACCTTCGTGGAGCTCAGCACCAAAGCCAAGATGCCCATTTTGGGTCTGGGCACCTGGAAGGTAAATATGCAAATTTTAGGAGGCCTGCTTCCCTCCAGGGTTGTCTGAATACTTTTCTCTGTAGTCAGTTGGGGCAGGGGCTTAAAGAGGTGAAATTCAGCTCTAGAGCTGAATTTCTCTGGGCTGATGGAGGCTGGAAAGTTACAGACTGGCTTTTCTGGGCAGGGTGAGTGCTTCACTAGCGAGTATCAAGTTTCCAGCACAAGTTGGACTTTCTAAAAAAAGAAAGAGGGGAAGAAAGAGAAACAAAAAGTACAGGGCAGCTACTCTCTGCAGTCTTTTTCTTCTAAAACACTGCTTAGTTCTGGGACATGCAGAGAGGGGCTCAGCATTTCTTGGCCTTGGGTTTGGTGATGGCTGAGTGATTGTGAGGATCCAGAGCTCTAATAAGGAGGGCTCGGGGTGTAGTACAGTGGTAGAGYGCCCTGAGTTCAATACCCAGTAACTTAACAAAACAACTCTGACCCAACCCAGGCTACAGAATCAATATTTGCTTTACTGAGATCCCCAGTGGTTGTCATGCTCATTAAACTCTGAGAAGTACTGGGATCACAGACAGCCTGGGTCATCACAGTCAGGAGCGAAGGTCCCACTCTGGCAGTGTTATTGTCAGCAGGCAAAATGCTAAAGGCACCTCCCGGGCCTCAGGAAGCAGATTCACTGGCCTCTCTTGGAATTTTAACTCTTGCCCTTTTTTTTTTTTTTTTTTTTTTTTTTTTACCATTTCCCTCAATGCTGACATCCCCCTAGCTAGTTTCCAAGATCCATCTTTGGAACCCTTCTCTCCTCATGGCTCATCTTGCTGAGTCATTCCTCTGTGTCTCTCTCTTTTCTTTTTTTTTTTTTTTTTTTTTATACTCAGGTCATTCTACCACTGGTCTATATCCCCAGCCATTTTGACTTTTTATTTTGAGATAAGGTCTTGCTAAGTAAGTTGCTGAGGTTAGCCTTGAACTTGTGCTCTTCCTGCCCCTGCCTCCCGGGTCACCTCCTGGCTCACTGGGATTACAGGTGTGCGCCATCACACCTGACCTCCTGAGTTACTTCAGGTCTAGTTTTCAGCCTGGCTTTGAGAACACTGAAGTGGAAGCTATCCATATTTTCCAGCAACTGGAGATACTTCAGGACTTACCTGAATTACAGAGGAATTGGCTTTTAGGTAGGATAGGGCTCCAGGTCACAATCATAAAATTAATTAATTTGTTTTTCTTTTGAAAAGTTTTCCAAAGTGAGTTTTATTCCCTGTTTTCCCCTGGCAAATGGGACCTAGATTTGGAGGAAAAGGAACTGATGGCCTTTTCTGTGCCTTTTAGTCTCCCCCGAACAAAGTCAAAGAAGCCGTGAAGGTGGCCATTGATGCAGGCTATCGCCACATAGACTGTGCCTACGTCTATCAGAATGAGAATGAGGTGGGAGAAGCCATCCAAGAGAAGATCCAGGAGAAGGTGGTGAAGCGGGAGGACCTCTTTATTGTGAGCAAGGTACGTATGGCCCATTTGGTGGGAGGACTGGACTTCAAGGCAGGCAGAAGTAGGTGGATGTGGTCAGTGCCAAGAACCCTCCCAGCCTTTCCTCTATGTCCATGTTAACCCAGCTCTCTTCATGTGGGCCTTTAGTACGTCCCTCAATACAACATCCACATGAGTACTGACATGTGAAAGATACTGCCATAGTCCCACCCACCTGAGTGGGGCTGGCTCCAGTGCCCTGTCTTCCCTGTTTTCTATCAATGGGATCCCTCTGCCCAGTGACGATCAGAGGCTAAGGGTGCAAACAGTGATGGATCCTGACGCCAGACCTTCAGCACTGTGGTCTCAATGGATGTTGCACTGAGGTTCTTAGTCAGAGGGTTTTGGAAAATGGTGGGAGCATTTTTTATTATCATTTAGAGATTTCTTTTTATTTCAAGCCAGTAAAAACTGTGTTATAAAGTGTATAACAAAGAAGGAAAGGGATAATTGTTACATGAAGGAGTTGAAACCTGCTGGATCCATATTAGAAGCAATTCGCTAAAAAATCTGTAGTTCCAGGTCCTTGGAAAGTGCTTCTGGTAGGATAAATAGAGTAGCTGTAGGCAGGGCCCCATCTGAAAAAATTCCTTATCAAATCATCAGTTGGGGCCTGATAGACTTGAAGATACGGGTGTATAGAATAAGGGAACATGTGCTTGAAATGTAAAAGCTAATCACAATTCCTACCCTCAGCTGAGAGCCAAGGAAGGGAATAACACAGCTACAAAAATATTTAATTAGTGGCCAAATATTTTAACCAACGTCAGAAACAGAATGTTGAGAGTGTGAAAAAATAAATTGGCCTGATATCACAGTGTCTAGGCCCGAAATTCCAGAGACTTAGGAGGCTGAAGCAGAAGGATCACAAATTCAAGGCCAGCCTCATCAGTTTAGCCAGATCCTGTCTCAAAATAAAGTATAAAAAGGGCTGGGTAGCTCAATGGTACAGCATCCCTGGGTTCAATCCCCACTACCAAAATAAATAAATTGCGCTCATCTCAGGAAATACAGACTTGGCTGAGGACTTTGTGTGCTGGGTCACTGTCTTAACCACCTTAGTTATAAACGACCTGTTCTCAGGATGGATCATGCAAATCACAAAGCAGGGAGAGTGAGTGTGGTACAGCCTCTCTCTCCCCAGTCCTCAGGCCTTGCTGTCTCCCCCTGCAGTTGTGGTGCACCTTCTTTGAGAGGAAGCTTGTGAAGGAAGCTTGTYGGAAGACCCTCAAGGATCTGAAACTGGACTATCTGGATGTCTATCTTATTCATTGGCCCCAGGGATTTCAGGTTTGAACTACTCCTGAGCAGATAGATGCCAGAAAATAACTGTGCCAGGATGGGGGTATCCAATGGACAGGAGTTCTTGTGCAGAGCAGGAAGGTGCTGGTCTGGAAGAGAGGCCTAGATGACACGTGGCCACTGAGGTAGGCACGTGCTTAAGTTTTCTTGCAGTTGCATCTGAGAGAGAGAGTGATTTCTGGCAACCCAAATAAGCTGCAACTGCCATGTGGACTTTGTCTTGATTGTGTGCCTCCCAGGAGAACTCTTGGGATACTCTTGCATAACATTATCTCAGGGCTCAACACTCCTGTTAATCAAAGCACACCCTGGGAGTGGCATCTTGGAGAAAAGCCCAAGTGTGGTGATACCGAAAGGTAGCCATTTCTCACTAAATAAATAGACTCTGCTTCTGCCCTGCTCCTGGAGGTGAGAGGGACATGAATTCCCAGCCTCTTCCCTCATGGTCAGCTAGGTGATGTGGTAGGCCACCCAGGCTCCTAGAAGCTGTGAGGACAGAAGTGAGTTAACATCTTCCCTAGGAAAACCATACCTTGAGATTCAACCTTTGTATATTGACCTTGAAATTAATGTTTACCTCCAAGTTTATCCGGGGTCTGATAATATAAAGTTAATGTCCATGGTGATAATGATGGCTTCTAGAATATTCTAATGATGGATTGTAAAATCAATCCAGTAGTTTATAAAATGTAAGAATTTCCATGCCACAATAGACTGATATGGAGATTTTATTGAAACTCACTATCTACAAGTGTGTTCTCCAGAGCTTGATAAAAATAGTGTGCATATGTGGGTATAAAAATGGGAATCAGAGCCAGGCACAGTGGTGCATGCCTGTAATCCCACTGGCTCAAGAGGCTGAGGTGGGAAGATCATGAGTTCAAAGTCAGTCTCCACAAAAGTGAGGTGCTAAGCAACTCAGAAAGACCCTGTCTCTAAATAAAATACAAAATAGGGCTGGGGATGTGGCTCAGTGATTGAGGGCCCCTGAGTACTCCAGTACCCTGCCCACCCCACCCCCGCCAAAAAAGTAGAAATCAGGATCTGGAAACCTTGTTCAACAGGACCACGTATCCAGATGCATATTACAATAAGCTTTTTATTCTCCTTTTACAGGCTGGGAAGGACTTATTCCCCAAAGATGATAAAGGCAACAACCTCATCAGTAAAGAAACATTCTTGGATGCCTGGGAGGTAGGTTCCAGTTTCTTCTAAGTGTGTTGGGAGAAAAAAAAAAAATTTCCCTCGGTCATGGATGAAACTCCATGAAGGAGGCGTTGTGTCTAACTCCACCACTGTTATCCTCCAGTTTTTCTCACTCCTTCCTTATCACCTTTGGACTCAGAGTCCATCTGACATGATTTACATTTTCAAGGCTAAAACTGTGTTCTCAAATGAGATTATAGATATAATGTACCCTAATTTGGGGGATACACATGCTATTCCAAAGCCATGGGAGGAAATTTTAAAAAGGCATTTTGACTTGAGTTTGTAGGTGTTAGCTGAGTAACCTTGGATCAGTTATTTAACTCCTGAAATATTCAGTTTCTTATTTTTTAAAAATACTATAGATAGGTGGGTACAGTGGCACACTCCTGTAATCCTCGCAACTCAGGAGGTTAAGGCAGGATGATGGCAAGTTCAAGGCTAGCCTCAGAAAATTCGCAAGACCCTAAGCAATTTAGAGAGACCCTGTTGCAAAATAAAAAAATAAAACAGAGCTTGAGATGTGGATCAGTGGTCAAGTGCCCCTGGGTTCAATTCCCAGTACCAATAAATAAATAAATAAATTCCTTAATTAAATAAAATAAAAAGGACTGGGGATGTAGCTCAGTGGTAAAGCACCCCTGGTTTAATCTCTCTCTCTGTGTGTACACACTGATATTTGTCCTCAAGATATGGTAAAGATTAAGGTAGCCAACATGCTAAGAACTTTAATCATGGTCAATTTAATCATCTAACCATAAGAGGGAGTGCTACTAGGGAGAGTTACTTTTCCCACTTACAAATTATATGATTGAGACCTAGAAAAGTTGTTAACTTGTCGGGTCATGGAGCAAGTGTGTGGCAGAGCTGGGGTTGACTCAGGACTCAAGTTTGTCTAAGAAGTTCAACTGCATTGGTCTTTAGCAGAGCGCTTGGCAAAAAGTGAACACACATCATTCAAACATAAGGGAAAAGGAGTGCCCCTCTTCCTAGATCCAATATGACCTCATTCACATAATTTGTGTCTAAAATTAAATTAAGGCATGAAAGGTTTTCTGAAGTTTTTTTATTTTTTTGAAACGATCATGTGCTCTTGCAAAATGCCAGCAGAAAACAAGTGAATGAACAAGTCATAAATGAATAGTGACAAAGGGTTTCAGGGATCATATTGTTCTATCATCTGAGTGGGACACATTTCCTGAGTTTGTGTTGTTTTTTACCACTTAAAATAGGTTAAAACTGTCCTAGCCTGGAATTGATATGAAAAATTAAATGCAAAGTTTTTATTTTATTTTGAGACAGAGTCTCACTAAGTTTGTTCAGAAATGTTTACCCATGAGCACAGCTTTCTTGCTTTGAACCTCAGCAACCAGCAATAAGAAAATTTAGATAGCAAAAATGATGTGATATCAGGAAAAGTATAATGAAGCAGGAAAACAATCACTTTATAATGACAAGGTTGGCAATCCTGGAAATACACTTGAAAGGAATTATCTTTGGCAAGTAAATCATTAAATTTGCCTGCTAACAGCAGAAAGCTTGATACTTGGAAGTATGGGAAGAAACTATCTGAATTTCTATGGGTGGGTTTTAAAGACTGTCCTCAACCTCTCTGAGTTGTACATGAAAAGAAAAAGAAAAAAAAAAACCAAAACTATTGGTTGTTGCCACCTGTAGTATTGCCAATGGATTTTCTCAGCAGGGATATGCCATTTATAGTTAAGTTCTGCAAGTCAAAATGATAAAAGAAGCAATGCTTTATATAATTAAGAGCCATGCCAAATTATTGAAAGTCTCATATCTCAGGGCTGGACATGCCTGTTAATAACAGTGACTCAGGGGGTTGAGGAAGGAGGATTGCAAATTGGAAGCCAGCCTTAGCAATTTAGTGAGGCCATAAGCAACTTAGTGAGACTCTGTCTCAAAATAAAATAAAAAGGACTGGGGACGTTGCTTGGTGATTAAGTACTCCTGAGCTTTACCCAGTACCAGAAAACATATAATAATATCTCAGAAGCGTGAGACTATATATAGAAGTAAATCAAATACTTTATCTTAGGAAGATGTCAATTTGTCATAATATCCAACCTTCTTCTATAATTAAATATAAATCTATGTACCAAGTGGAAGAACACCATGAATATACAAGCTGTGAGCTGGAACCCAGGGGCACTTTACTACTTAGCTACATCCCTAGTCCTTTATTTATTTATGGTACTGGGGATTCAACCCAGAGTTGTTTAACCACTGATCCACATCACCAGCCCTTTTCTGCATTTTATTTAGAGACAGGGTCTTACTAAGTTGCCTAGGGCCTTGCTAAGTTGCTAAGGCTGGCTTTGAATTTGGGATCCTCCTATGTCAGCTTCCTGAGCTGCTGGGATTACAGGTATGCACCACCATGCCCAGACCTTTTAATTTTTTATTTTTAGACAGGGTATTGCTAAGTTGCTGAAGATCCTGCTAAACTGCTGAGGCTGGCCTTGAACCTGCAAACCTCCTGCCTCAGCTTCTGGAGTCATTGGGATTATAAGTGTTGTATTTTTCTTTAGTGACCTTTCAAGGCATTATCCAGCCACATAGTCTAAATACTTGTTTGATGTAGTCACTAAAATATACTTATTAAGCCTGAAACTTCAAGAATAGATACTATTTTCTCTTTGCTAATGACAAAATTGTGGCCATAAAAAGAAATTTGAATTCTAGTTAACTTAGAAAAATATCAACATATTTATTTTCTTGCCACAAGTCACATTCTGTTTGAGGAAGTTTTCAGGTTTAATGATATAATGAACAATATAGTGGTTTATGTGAATGGGCTCAAAATGAAAATTTTGGCAAGACTCACAAAATAGCTTGAGATTTCAGCATTCGTTTTTGCATTAAATTGAGTGCATTAATTTGATAGGTCAACTTTGTCATATGTATTCACTATTCCTTTTCATTGCAGGTCATGGAGGAGCTGGTGGATGAGGGGTTGGTGAAAGCTCTTGGTGTTTCCAACTTCAACCACTTCCAGATTGAAAAGATCTTGAATAAGCCTGGACTCAAATATAAACCAGTGACTAACCAGGTAAATTCTATTCAACGAAAGGATCCTGCCCTATTACTACTTAACATTAGGAGGCAAGTCCAATGCTATATACTGAGTCTAGTCTCAGGGATCAGTGGTAATGATGCTTTCAGGGTGGTGGGAGACAGATCTCAGGGTCTGGTTTAGTAAGTCTGTCAATATATTGTGTGTAGAACGTTCTGTGAACCATTCAAAATGCAAGCAAACTTTCCTAATGATGGAGATTGTTCATACTTGCAGGTCGAGTGCCACCCATACCTCACCCAGGAGAAACTGATCCAATATTGCCATTCTAAGGGCATCACTGTTACAGCCTACAGCCCCCTGGGCTCTCCAGATAGACCTTGGTGAGGCTTCTGAGTGGTGGGTCTTTGTCTTAGTACTCTTAAAAACATTACTTTATAACTAGTTGAGTTTGGTATGAATCTGTAAGTCACCAGAAAGAAAAATGTGTCTAAGGCAATGTGCTTAACCCCTCCAAATGGGATTATGGTGGGAAAGAATGGGAGTTTAAAAAGAAAGTGCAACACTTCTGACCCTCTGAGAATACTCCAGTGCTAGACCAGGCTTGGTGAAATGCTGAGGCTCCAGAGCCCGTGGATGGACTGGCTCATGGGAAAGACACAGAGCTTCTGGGTTTCTCCTGTTGGTGTCTCAAATGGAGAAGGCTCTGATGCCTAGCCTCGAGATTGACATTGGAGTGATGTGCTTATGCATTTGGTAACCATGGTGATTATTCATAACAGCTAACTTTCTGCTTCTAGGGCTAAACCYGAAGACCCTTCACTATTGGAGGACCCTAAGATCAAGGAGATTGCTGCAAGGCACAAAAAATCCCCGGCCCAGGTACAATGTGGGGTTTTTTTGCTTTTTCTCTTTATCCAGCAATCCATTCATTCTACAGTCTTCTGTTTTATTCCTTGTATTGTCTTCATTTGACTCATTAGAGGGGAGGGAAACAGGAAGTGAAGCACACTCATGTGCCTTCTTGGAAGTCTTGTTAGGACCCCCAGGAAATACAGTGGGTGTCAATGAAACAAGGTTTATTAGTCAGCTTTCTGTTGTTGAGAAAATCAACGGAAAGGAGAAAAGATTTATTTTGGCTCAGGGTTTCAATATTTCAGTCTGTGGTCATTTGGCCTCATCACTTTGGGCCTTGGTGAGCCATGTATGGGCCAGGTGTGGTGGAGCAAAGGTGCTGACATCATAGGTGCGGGGCCTGGGGGGGAATGAGAGAGAGGGAGAGAAAGAGAAAGAGAGACCCTTCAAACAAAGGCCAGTGACCTACTTCCAACTAGGTTCACAGCTCTCTGAAGTTTCCACCACCTCCAAATAGTGCCACACTTGGGGACCGAGCCTTCAATCCATGAGCCTTTGGGGGTATTCCAGGTCCAAACTCTAACACAAGTATGGCCTCTGTCTATTGGCTTCCTACCAAGTTGTCTAGCTGAACCACAGAGAATGGTTTGGGGTTCATATGCCGTCTGTACCACATGTCAGCCTTATGACCTCTAAGGACACCTTCGTTTCTAAACAAGGAAAACCATAGGGTTTTCCCATAACCTGCTAGTTAGGGAGGGAAGGGGAGAACTGGCCAGTGTCTCTAATGGTTAAGCACTTGGTCCAACATTCACTGTTGTAGCTAAAGCCTCAGTGAGCTACAGAGATATTTTATTTTTCCTTTTTCTGGGAGAGGGGGGTCCTTGTGGACAAGTAGAAATATGAAGTCCTCTTTCTTTACAGGTTCTGATCCGGTTGCATATCCAGAGGAATGTGGTGGTGRTCCCCAAGTCTGTGACCCCAGAACGTATTCTCGAGAACTTTCAGGTGAGATCTATCTGATCACCTGCTATTCCCCAGTGGAGGAGGCGGCAAGGGGGACTCTCTCTCCAGGTTTTTCATCTCATCCCTGTGTATTAGTGGCTCCCACCATCTTCTCCACTCTTAAGTCAGGAATCTGGCCTCAGAGCTGAGAGAAATGGTCACAGGATGTGCTAGGGCAGTGACAGAGAAGCCCTGTCAGATCTGAGCCCACTGAGAAGGTTCCTAGTTGCCCTTGAGCAGTCAGGTCATGGGCCACCCGAGAGACCRCCTAGCAGCAGATGAGAGATGGACTGTACTTGAAGAACTGTCCTTCTAGAAGAACCTATGTGAACAGGATGCCGTATAAACTGAGGTTTAATACCTACAAGTCTGCTATCCCTCCTTTGGGCACATTACACCCTATAAATACTGCAGAGTCTGGTGKGGGGGGGAAGGGAGAAATGGGGGTGGGGCAAAAAAAGAGACTGGGGATCTAAGCCAAGGACACTTTATCACTGAGCTATATCCCCAGCCTCCCTCACTTTTTTAAGAGGGGGGGTCTTGCTAAATTGCCCAGGCTGACCTTAAACTTGGTTTCCTCCTGTCTCAGTCTCCCAAGTAGCTAGAATTATGGCACATACCACCACATCTAGCTAAATACTACAGTCTTTGTGTGGGGCCCAATTTAGAGAAAAATTTATATCCACTTGACATACAAAGGACATCTGGACTCCTGTGGCCAGTTTGTGCTACAGATATGAGCTTACTCCCTGCTAAAATAACTGGAGATCTCAAATCCCAGGAATTGTCTTGCCAAGGATGTTTTGGAATTCTTTCCTTTCCAGGTCTTTGACTTCAAATTGAGTGATGAGGAGATGGCGACCTTACTCAGCTTCAACAGAAACTGGAGGATCTGTAACCTGACTGAGTAAGTGTCAATGGGTTAATAAGAAAGATCATGGGGTTTTGTTTGTTTTGAAGAGGTAGAGGATTAGCTGGAAAGATTGGAAGGCAGCCGCATCTATATTTGTCTTTTAGTACTATTTTCTTGTTGTTTTTGAGTACCCCTATTGGAGTCCTGGGGAATCATTCTGGAAAGACATATTCCTAATTGCTGCTCATTATCTGAACTTCTGAATGTAGAGCTAGAATTTCAAGAGAAGAGGTGTCATTKCTCTGTAGGAGGCAGAAGTTTCCATTCATTCATTCACTCAGCAGTTTACTGGTCATCTACAATGTGCCAGGCATTTTCTAGGTGTTTGGGAGATCACACTTTGTACAAAGTTCCTGCTGCCACAGTCTTAAATTCTAGTTAGGGAGAACAAAAGTAACTCAAAATATATATGTCAGAWAGTAACAAATTATACAGGAAAATAAAGAAGGGTAAAGGGGATAGGAAGAGGTGGGTCCTGGGGAGGTTGGGACTTAATATTGAGTAGGTGAGGGAAGGTTTTGCTGATAAGGTGACAGTTGAGCAGAAACCTGAAGAAAGTAAAAAATAATCCATGTGGATTTKGGGAAGAAGAGTGTTTTGGGCAGTGAAAGCAGCAATTTCAAGGGCCTTGAGGTGAGAATGTGTTTGGAGCATTTGAATAGAGAGGGCAGTGAGGCTGGAGTGGAATGGATGACAGGAAGAGTAGGAGGGATGAGGCTGGAGAGAGGTGTCCAAGCTCAGAGCAGACACAGAGGGCGTAAACCATGAGAGGGACTTTCATTTTAGCTCTGAGCTGAGAAACCATTGGAGGATTTTGAACCGAGGGCTGGCAGGATTTGACTTAACATGTTTATGATGCCATTAGACATCTAAGAGGGAATGTCAAATACAGAGTTGGACTGGAGGATTCAGGAGTAAACCTACCTGGCTTCTCCTCCCAGCCCCACCGTTTACTTACCAGCTGTGTGGTAACTTCATCAAGTTGGCTTCTGTATYTACAAAATACGGAGGGTAGTAGTAATTACAGCAAACATCTATGGAATGTTGGCTCAGAATGTACCAGGAATCCTAAGTCCTTTACCTGTGTTGTTAAGTCAAGCATCAATTCCACTGTTATTCCCAACTCTCAGTGTTGTGAGAATGAATTGACAACACTTGTAAGGTGCCAGGCCTGGTGGAAGCCATTGAATTATGATTTCATTCTGGTGCCCTGGTCACTACTTACTTGCCTRCCTGCTTTTCTTAAATACCTCTCCCACTGATTTGAAGGAAGGTCAAGGTATGAGCTCCCTACTTAGTCCTCACAGAGTCTTGGGGGAAGGTGGCTGAGGGAGCAYCAGAGAAGACTGGATTGTTAGACCACAGTTGCTGCTTTTGTGGAACACATTCTCTCTGCTTGTTTCTGCAGCCAGGCTAATTTGCCGGACTACCCCTTCAATGCCGATTACTGAAGCTGAATCTCCTGATGAGACACCTGGTGGATTCTTTCTCTTCACTGAAGTGGAATTTGCTCTCCCTGAGGCCCATTTTAACTAAATTTATATGAAATTATATTGTGCTTGATCTTGTCAGAATCTAGGCAAAATTAGAAAAAAAAAGTTTATTAGTGCATTATAATTGTACATAATGGTCCCTGCACGCAACATTAGTTGCTCAATCTCCTTCCCAGAACCTTCTTTCCTTCTCCTCCTCCCTCCCCCTAAGCAAGGTTTTATTTAGATCCATATGTTGAACCAAGGAAAGACTTATCACAGGGAAGTATGACTCAGATGAGCAAATGACTATTTCTTCCACTTATTTGATCTGAACAAATGTTTGTTAAACAACAGGGTCTCTGCTACCATTGAGGATGCAAAAATAAAAATAATAAAAAAATAATGAAAGTAATCAAYGTGTACTGAAAGTTCACTGTGCACCCATACACCTTGAAGTGCTTTTCCTCTCCGTGAGCTCACTGAATTCAACTTTCATCAYTCCAGTTTTTCAGAAGAGGAAATGGAGGCTCAGGGAGGTCTGGGAACCTGCTCAAGGTAAACCGGGGAGTAAGTGGCTGAACCAAGTTTCCTTTTTACCCCTAGCACTGGGGATTGGACTCAGGGGGCACTCTACCAAAGAGCTACATCTCCAGCCCGTTTTGTTTTGAGACTGAGACTCACTAAGTTGCCAAGGCTGACCTCAAACTTGAATTCCTCCTGCTTCAGCCTCATAAGTCCCTAGGATTTCAGGCATGTGCTAGTAGGCCTGGTTCTATAGTATTTTTCCTTATGAAATATTCCAGTTATATAGAATGTCCCGACGATAACATAGTGAGCATCTGACTTACTTCAAATTAAAAAAAAATTTTTTTTGAGTCTTTGGGGACCAAACCCAGGGCCTCATGCATGCTAAGCAAGTGCTGTACTACTGAATCAAGTCTCCAGCTTAAAAATGAAAAGAAAGCATAAAGAAATAAGTGGTTACTAATAAAGTTGAGGACCACTTCTTCTCATTTCCTTGACTCCTCAGAATTAATGTCCATCCTCAGATTCCCAAGTCACCTCATCCTCTGTTGGTTCTGTGCCTACTTACTTACAGATCAACTTCCTARTCTTACCTTCTTCCATTCTGCAGGATGGTGGGGAGAGGAGGTCAACACCTGGATTTCCAGACTTCCYAGTCAGATGGTTTCCTCTGGGATTGCTTAAATGGGGTGTACTGTTAGGAGATTAGAGGGCTGGGGGAAGGGAAAAGCCCAATGTTTTCTCTTTGAGAGGTCTCTCCATTAGAAGTYAGATTTCCTCTATTTTTCTTGTGGTCTCAGCTCTTGCCTGGCAGCCTCCACCATGATTCTATCTCCTACTGCATGACACAGCTTCAGAGATTAGGAAACACTGCTTCCTTCTATGTCCTCTATCCCTAGGGGCAGCGTCTTTTCCTGCTATTGCTAACTCATCCTSTCTCTCATCCCAGTTCTTCCCTCACTTGTGCAGACAATTTGAATTAATATCCAATGTTCAAAAATCAGTGTTGGACTGGGGTRTAGGTCAGTGATAGAGTGCTTGCCTAGCATGTGTGAGGCCCTGGTTTCATCCCTAGTACTATAAAAAAAAATTAAAATCAGTGCAGTTCCTGTCCTGGCTGGACCCCTAACTGATGCATTTTTTCATCCACATTTTTACACATTATTATTTATGCACACAACCCCACAAATAATTCATGAGATTATTTGGAGGTATATAAAGATGTAGGAACATTATAYATATGAAGCAATTTAAAACCAGAGTCCAGTGATAGTTCTATTTGTTGTTGTTGTTTTTGGTACTGGAGATTGTACCCAGGAGCATTTTACCACTAAGCTACATCCCCAGTTTGTTTGTCTGTTTTTCTTAGGAGACGGGATCTCACTAAGTTGCTGAGGGTCTCATTAAGTTGCTAAGGCTGGCCTTGAACTTATGATCCTCTTGCCTCGGTCTCTTGAGTTGCTGGGATTACAGGTGTGTGCCATTGTGCCCAGCTTTATGCACATTTTAAGAATTAGAACTTGATTTTTGAATTTATTATCCAAGTAGCTAACATAGTATTTCTTGATATTATCTGAAACATAATTAGGTCCCACTTTTCTCAGTARTCTATTTGTTTCTGTATTCCTTTTGGCTCCCTCGATTCAAGTGTTGTATTCAATGTGAAGTGTGTTTAGTTGTGTCTACAGTGTTGGCAGCTTCCCCATCACCATGACCTTGCATCTGCGCTCCTTGTTCTTTGGCATGGAATTCGTGCTCCATGCAGTTTAGTCACACAATTGACATTTGTTGCCCCCATGAAAGAACCCAAATTGCCTGATAAGCCTGGAGGAGTGTACTGGGACTTTATCCATTTGACACAGAYATTTTACTTTTTATAGCCAAGCCCAGCGGGCCATGCAGCCTTCACGGGATCCCTAGCCCTTCTCTATCCCATCATAAGCAGAAATCTAATAACCTCAATAGCCCTCATCCCTCCTTCCCTTGAGTGTACACAGAATCTGTGAATATGATAAGATTGTACTCACACAATTATGTGAAATTATAAAAAAATTATAAAAAAGTGGGAGTTTGCATTTGTAATAAATGTCCTAATCAGTTAACTTTAAACTATGGAGATCACTGGTGGGTCTGGATTAATTGTGTTACTTTGTTCATGAGATAACCCTTACTTGTGTTACTTATGTTTATGAGTTAACCATTTAAACTGATAGTTAAATGGTTTGCAGAAGAAAGGGAAATATAGGGCAGAATATATTTCCTTTTCCTTTTGGTACATCTTTACTCATTAGTGAGCCCAAAGTAGTGCATGTTTACTGGGAATAATGGTGCATGCCTATAACTGCAGTGACTTTGAAGTCTGAGGCAGGAGGATAGAAAATTTGAGGCCAGCCTGGGCAAGTCAGGGTGACCCCGTCTCAAATTTTTAAAAAGGCTAGGGGGATAGCTCAGTGGTAGGGGGTCCCAAGGTTCAATCCCTATTACTGCCAAAAGAAAAAAAAAAGATTCATGTAACTATAGATTTATGTGTACATTCTCCATTAAAAAGAAACCAAGTTTACTTGGAGAAATAGCTATTACAGAAGCAAATCAGGAAAAGATGACCTTGAGTAAGCTTTTTCCACCAGAAAGTGAGGGAGTGCTCAATAAATGATGCAGTCCTGCTCAATTAATGAATTAGAGCAAAAAATTAATGACATTAGTGGATAATAGCCCACTGACTGAAACAGGAATTCATGAGACCACATTAAAATGAATAAATACATAAGGAAAACAGAAAACTTTTGCTCAAGTATACAATCAATTAATAAATCTAGAAAAATTAATGGAATTAGAAATTCATCATTTTGGCAATCACAATTTATTCAAGAAAGATCAATGGATGTTTAAACTAGTAAATATTTGATGAGCAAGAGAGTATTTGCTTAATCCAAAGTATGTCTTTACTAAGTGCCTATTAGCTACTAAAAGGAAGGGTTACCCAACAATGGGTAAACTTGATAGAAAGTTAAGTTAAACCACTGTATTAGTTTTCTATTGCTGCATAACAAGTTTCCACAAACTCAGCAGCTTGAAACATTCATGATCTCATTGTGTTAACCAGGGGCCCGGTGAGATTTTTCTTGGTTCCCTTTTTTCCTTTTGTCCTTCCCTAATCCTTTAGCAGAAGTTCCACTCAGAAATTAACCCTAATTCTTTAATCCCTTAGATTATTCACAAATCCCAGTTGGCGTTTGTGAGACACTGCCTTGGTAAATAGCACCAAATCCATTGTGATGTGTTGGAGAAGATACACCCTCACCAAGACTGCTCCCTCACTGCAGCCTCACTCTCCCCTTAATCCCCACAAAAACCCTGAGTCCAGAGCCTGGGAAGTTAGAGCTTTGAGGAGCCAGCCCCTCTATCACCTTCAGGGCTGGCCTTAAATAAACTGATTCCTTCCCACTATTTTCCTGATTCTTTCCCAATACCTAGCTTCCTGAGTACTGAACACTTGATTCCAGTAAAAACAGTTCTCTAACAGGGCACAGTGGTGCTTGTCTGTAGTCTTAT